CCTCCATCAATACATCTACACCTCCATCAATACATCTACACCTCCATGTTCATGCAGTGTTGCTTCAACTGATTTCTTCTTCTGTGCTTTTACATTAACTTAAACATTTAAACTGTATCTTTTCTGCACAATTATCACTAATTCATCTGTTTTTTGTAGTATTTCTTGCACTAACTTAATGAATAAATTATCTCCATTTAGAATTTGTACTTTCTTTACATGAATTTAAACATTTACATTTTATATTTCCTGCAAGATTATCACAAAATGATGTTTTATTTCAGATACATTCTGACTTTCTTTACATGAATTTGAGCATTTGCTTCATATTAATTCTGCACATTGATAAGAGATTTATGTTTTGTTTTCGTTAACGTGATGAATCATCTCTGCACATGTCACAGATGGAGTTCTATCTTCCCTCCAGGTCTCCTCTGCTCGTTAGCGTTGGTGCTCCTCCAGCAGGAGCTGCAGCGTGAGACAGGTGAGTCCTCCTCGAGCAGCTTCTGACACGGCCTAAATGAGCGCAAGGCTTCCGGCGGCCTGCAGTAAGAGGGGCATTCCCTCCGCGTTCAGGGAAACAAATGTCTTCCAGTCGCGCTGCAGCTCGGCTCATCACCGGATATCAGCGGCAGCCGGCGCCTCCTGAATTATTCCAGCCGCTCTTGTCAAACCCAACAGATGAGTCTGTCTCGGCTGCAAAAGGTCACAGCGCAGCCGAGTACAACCACAGAGCAGCAGTCAATTCCTCCTCTTTCTTAAGGGCCACTTGCTGGAATTTATGGCCGGGCCCCCGCACCTATTCTCCTGTGAATAATAGCGGCTCCGTAAAAGAAGCGCAGGTCGGCGGAGAGTCTTAAATAGAATTCTGGGGGGGGGGGTTGTTTATTGTGCGAGCAGCGGATGAACAAATAGACATTTGAATTTATACCCACTTCAGACTCTTAACTTGAAGAGAAGCAGCGAGTTTCACTGGTTCTCATGAATCTGTGGGTTTGTAGTTTGAATCCCTCATGAACAGCTTCACACTGAGGTTCAGGAGGGGGTCAGAGGTCAGGGTTCAGCTGCTTCAGACTGCAGGTATGAGGAGGTTTTGACTCCTGCAGTTAAAGCGGAGCCTCGGCCATCTGTCTCCGGCTCTCTTTGATCCCTGACCCCCCCCCCCCCCCCCCGCTTTGGACCAAATGCTCCGGCCTCTCGCTGGGTTTACAGCCACAGTTTGGACCACGGACTTCCTGTCCAGCAGCACCTTTAAATCCTCTCCGTCACACCTGGTGTGAGGATCGGGGCCTCTCGGGGTCTCTCGGGGTCTGGACTGAGACTTGATGGTGAAGTAAACGTCTGATCTAAATGATTTGAGGTGTTTGTATCTCCACGTTTATTCATTTTATTTAGAATAAATCGGAGGGTCCCGGGACCACTTCTGTCCCCGGGAACACGTCGGTCCCCAGGACCACGTCTGTCCCCGGCTAAGCCCTCCTCTTTCTGGGGGAGAGGACAGAACGAGGAGCATCTTCTTCTTCTTCTGTGGTGGACGACCGACCGAGCCGTCCCACACACACACACACACACACACACACACACACGAGGACTCGGCGGCTGACAGAGCCGATCGTCCCTCCAGGAGTTCATTAAGACGCATGAAAGAGGAGGAACTACAGCCCCCCCCCCAGTGGCCCCGGACCTTTGATGGTCTCCAGTGTGATGCTCAGTCTTCATGTGTGATCTCTGCTGCTCCGAGTCGGTTCGAGATCTTCTGGAGGAAAACAGTGAGCCGGCTTCCAGAGAACATGTTTGACGTGTCTCCCTCTAAAGTGTCCCCCCCCCCCTCGTTACCAAAGCAAACGGCTGCAAACCAAAGACGGCAGAAGAAGAAACGTCTTTCAAGAGCTAAAATAAATAAATATGAAATCAGAGAATTATTGGTATTTATTCCTGATTTATTTATTTATGTTTTTGCAGGTTTTTTTTGGGGGGGGGGGGGGGGG